AAATTACATGAGTGACAAATTTTGTTAACAACTCTCCACATTCTCTATTCTGATTTTGTACTTTCCATGGAAGGTATTGATTGTGGTCTTATCAAAAAGAAAAATGCGTGGCTCAAAGTCACAATGAATGAATATGCATAGAGCTGAATAATCCTTTTGCTAAGCCTATTTATTCACAAAATATCTTGTTTATCTCGTGCATATTTCTTTTCTTATGTTGCAGTTTGTAATTACAAAGGATCATGGATTTCATAACTGTTAACTCATTTAAGTCTGCAATGCATCTTGGTTATTCCAAATGGTTAAGAAGATTGTGTCTAGAATTGAGAATGAGGGAAGCGATTTGAGGTTTAAATTTGATCTTTTACTAGCGGTTTAATTTATGGTGCATATTCCAAGAGATACTTGAGAATCAGCTTTAGTGCTAAATTTCGTCACTCATGTAATTTGTGATGCATATTCCAAGGTGATCTAATCAAATTAATCAGAGTAGACCTCAAACTTCAGGAAATCCTGCAACCTTACTGTTTGGCATGCTTGCGTTTATGGCAATTTAATTTGACTGGATTACCTTGGAATGTGCGCATTAAATTGCATAAGGTTAAGCATATACTAGTCGTGTAGCAGTCAAATCAACTGAAATGAAAATAAATTAACTAGTTTCGTTGGATAAAACATATAACTCACTGAGGAGTTCGAACTTTTATTAAGTTTTTAACACTAAAGCTGGTTATTATCTTGGTGCTTATGCTTAATCTGTTAATTTGTGAAAATCCATTGTGTATTTACCAATTTGTTATCACTCTGAAGTATCTTGCATGGAATTTTTGCAACCCAATGAAAAGGTTTTCGTTTTACATACTGTTTTGCAACTTAACTGGCATCTTTCTGCTTATTGGCGCTACATTGTTAGAATTATTTAGTTTCATACACTTCAACATTCTGTTTCAAGCATATGATTAACCACTTCTCAGTATTCTTATGACTTGAAGTCTCACTACTCAATTAGCAAGCCTTTGTTCTGATGGAAGTTATGCAGCTCAATTGGCATATTACTTGTGCTCATGGCTGACATACTTTTGATGTAATCCATCTTTACGGTTGGCAATGTTCTATAAATGTCTGATCATTTTTGTATGCTAAGAAAAGAAAAAGGAACTGGCATTTTCTTCTCGCTTACCTTACCAGTATTAGGTATCTTACATTAATCCTTTTCAGTGGTAAGAATTGTTTCTGAAGTCAAGAATATAGTGATTGTCTGTCACCTGAGCTAATGGGGCTGCAACTACTTGTGGGATAATAACCTGATTAGACAGCTGACATTGCACAGATATGGTAGAAGCTGTAGTAGAGTACTTGTAAAAGATCTTTTCAAAGTTTTATAAATTGTCTATCATTTTTACGAGGAATGACTTTTGTAAATTGCATGAAGATGTATATTATAATTTGTCTAGAATATCTGATTTGGCTTTTTACTGATGTACTTTATGTAAAATGTGATAAATAAAAATTGTTTAGTTTTCTATGTTGTTATTACTATGATGTACCTTCTTGTTACCTGGCTTTACTACATCTTTCTGACAGATGATCAAGAAAGATGAGAATATCTATCAGCTTCAAAATGAATTGCAAGAATACACCAAGGAACTGACAATTGTTAAGGGAATTCTACCAAAAGTGTCTGAAGAGAGAGATTTGATGTGGGGGGAAGTTAAGCAGTATAGTGAGCAGAACATGTTGTTGAACCGCGAGATCAATATCTTGAAGAAAAAGATAGAGGGACTTGATGAAGACATACTGCTCAAAGAAGGTCAGATTTCAATATTGAAAGATGCCCTGGGCAAACCCTTTGACCTGCTGGCAAGCCCAGATTCGGCGCATAAATACTTGGTGAATTGAGGGATAAACGGTGAATTTGTCAGGATTGTTTAGTACTGTTCATATTTGTACAAATGTTTTTGTTGGTTGGTTTTTTTTTTTTTTAATTCTTTGGTTATTATTTCTTGAAAATGATGTTAAGTGCTGTAAGGTTTGCAATCAACCGTGCAGTTGATAGTGTTTTTGAGTTTTGCTAAGACGAGAAAATTAAAAACTTCTGCTATGGATTCATGGGTGAAGTTCTTTTCCCCTCCCTTAGATATACATATCTTTTCTGTATTTCTATATTTTTAAGTTAGCCTACGTCCCTCTGAAGGATACGTGCTGTAAAATTAATCTATTGACTTTTGAAGCGTATGTAGAAGAATAAGAATTTATCCTACATGCGTGCATTGCATGTCAAAGGTTTTCTAAGGGAAAGAAAATAAGAAGTAGAAAATGAATAAGCTAAAAAAAAAAAGTTGACAGTGTATACATTTTTATCATTGGATATGTGACATATAATCCAAATTTTGCATATGTGTCGTGTATCCAAGATATACACTGTTAGTATATATAAGATTTATTTAAAAAAAAAAGTGTAAAAGGGATAGTATTTGAATCATTGCAACGGCAGTCCAACAGGAGGGCATAGGATTGGAAATGCTAGATTCGAGGGGAACGGTAACAGGGTTCCGGGATTCTGTAATTACCAGTGTTAAATAATACATATCATAACAATAGGCATAATGCAGGTAATTTTGTCAATCATTGAAGCTGTGCTTACAATTAATTTGATCGATCTAATCTCTCAAATTAAATATAGTTGGGTCACTGATTGTACGATATAATTGCTCTGACAATTATAGAGAATCCAGTCCTATTATTGCAATGAAAATTGTAAATGTTTAAGTGGTTAGCTCAATGTTCTAAGCTCAGATGATGGTGGATTGGCGACAGTGGTGAACTCTATAATCTTCTGAGTAGGAGGTAAAATTTTGATAGGATTGGGGCAACCACAATAGGGTTAGTATTTTTATTTAAATCTAATATAAATTAAAATATAGGATTATATTCATGGAGAGTTCTCTAGTGCAATTTGGATCATAGATATGTAAAAAGAAATATCACTCCTTAGATGATTTTAGAAGTTTATATTATTGAATGATGTGACGAGAGTTTATTGGATTACAATCATGAGTATAGCCTTATATTCACATGATTGTATTTATGCATTGTATTAGTGTAAGGTTGCAAATAAGTCAAATCAAGTTGAGCTTGAGAGAGAGATGGATTGGATGATACGAAAAGAGAGTGTAAATGAAAAGTTTCGAGTTCAAAATGTCCCACTTATATTAAAATGAAAAATGTTGAGTTTTGGCCTTATCGAGCTGTGCTCGACTTAATTTAATTTTAGAAACTTGAATCAGAACGCTAGTTCCACCATGGTCAAGTTCAAGTTCAAATAAAAATGTGAAAAATATTTTATTTTTAAAAATGGATAAAATAAATATTTCATCCCAATAAATAATAAAAATAAAAAAGAGTGCATGTATTTTCACACTAAAAATATAAATATGAGCTCAATCGATTTGATAAGCCAACGAGGCGAGTATTTAACTTGACTAGCTAGCCTAAGGGTGTGCATTCGGTACAAATTCAGTTATTCGGTTATTTGAATTCGATTTTTTGGGTTATTTCACTTGTAAAACTCTAAACCGTTTTTAATTTCGAATTGAAAATAAACGAATTCATTCGATTACCAAATTGAATTCGAAAATGGTCATGAAATCGGTTATAACCGAATTGGATAGTAATTTTCACATAATTAAAATGGGATTCAATTGTGTAGTTGTATACACCTAGTCACTTTTAATTTACTAATTATGTGTTGCATTAAACTTACATTTATTCTTATTTTTTATATAGTTTAAATGCTTAAGTTGCAAATAACTTGATTGCTTTCAATGATGAATGTTAGTACACTAATAAGTTGACATGTAATTCATATACATTCGCTTAGACTGCTTAATTATAGTGCTTAGTTATTTATGTTTAAACAAGATTAGTGATTAGAGAATATTAATCCACATATTATATATGTAATATAATTTTAGAGTATACTAATACTTGCAAGTTAAAAGTTACACATTCAAATATTTAATAATTCAAACATGAATGATGAACCAATGTCTAAATTCTAATTACTAATGATGTGTAATATTTAGTACTATACTTATTATCTAATTCTAATTATGTATAAAAGAATGAGTATTATAGTTATGTAATATTGTATATTTGTATTATTATAATCATATAATAAATACTAAAATAGCATATTGTACATCATTATATATTTTTATTATGATAGGTACATGATAATACTATATACTATCTATTATTAATAGTTTTTACTTATATAATATATCAATACTATATAGCATTTACCTATATATTATATAATTTTATAAACTAATTTGGTATTCGAATGCGGTAATATGGTGTATCTTATTTCATTTTACCGAATTTGAATTCGAAATGATTATTACCAAATTGAAAACCTCGTTACTTATTTCATACCACATTAGAATTCGATGAATTCCGTAAACATCGCTTTTGTACCAAATTATCGAATAATTGATTTCAAATCGAATACAAATTCGATCAAATTGCCAATCACGAATTTCAAATTACCAAATTACGTACCGAATTCGGTCACTCGTAGAGCCGCCAAGCAAACTCAAGTTCTACTCGACTTAGTGTTGACCAAGCTCCCAGCTCGCAAGCGCTTGAGTGACTTGCAGCCCTATCTTTTAGTCTATGATACATTAATTACATACCAAATTAGAAGATTTAGAAAAGAAATAGAATCCTCTTATAATTCCAAAAAGTACCAGCCCAGGTCCATTTATTGATGTTGTCAATCATTTTGGCAAAGCGCACATAAAAGATTTTGCTAAAAGATTGATTTGCAGCCCCATCTTTTAGTCTATGATTCATTAACTACATACCAAATTAGAAGATTTAGAAAAGAAATACAATCCTCTTATAATTCCAAAAAATACCTGCCCAGGTCCAATTATTGATGTTGTCAATCATTTTAAGCAAAGCACACATAAAAGATTTGGCCAAGTTTTGCAAGGGCATCGGGGTAATTCAGCACAATTAGGATATATCTTTAAAGCAAGCAGGAATCCTGCTAGATATCCTAATAGGACAAATGGAGAAGATGTCCGAAATCCCCTTTAAGTCTCAGAATTTGGGAAATAGATGCGACTGTGCCATTGAGAAGTGCGAGAGGGTTTAGCTAAATTTCACAAAATTAACCAGGAGGATGAAGGGATCAAAGATGGATGATGAAGAGATGGAAAAGGGAGAGAGGCAGCTGATGAGGAAGAGGAAAAGAACTGCTGGGATTGTTGTCGTCGGTGAATCAAGAGCCATGCTAGATCATCTACCTGATGAACTGCAATCCGATATTCTGACTCGGCTTCCGGCCAAGAATCTTCACCAGTGCATGTGCGTCTCCAAGGCCTGGTGCTCAATCGTCCGGGATCCTCCATTCTTGAGGGCTTACTTAAGACAGCAACCCCATGGCAGCCTCCTCGTCTCTATCACTGATGCCAGAGATTACAAAGGTGACATGTGGTTTCCTGAAAACCCTATAGGTCTAGCTGTCTATTACTCGCCACTCCTTCGAGTTCAGGATCAGGGCCGGAATCAGGTTCAATGTCCGCAACCATTTCTTAGCTTGGTTAAAATCCCGTCTTTTGATTTGTTCAAGGGAGTCACTAAAGTGGTGAATGGGCTTGTTTGTGCTTATGGGAGTATCGGTGCCATGGTCTGCAGTGTCGGTACTCGGGAAATCGTGTGGCTTCCAGAAATTAGTGGGTTCCGCAATTCCGCTTATGAAGATTATTACTTTGGGTACCATCCTGGCAATGAAGTCTACAAGTTGCTCAAGATAAGCAAGTCTAATTCTAAGCAGGAAGCCCACATTCTGACGCTAGGCCGCGATTCTTCTTGGAGAAAGCTGGCTATTGGGCTTGATGGGTCTTCTGAAAGATTACCGGCTGACAGCTTCTTGTGTAATGGAGTCCTTTACTGGGTGATGCATGGCCTGGTTGAGCGGCTGGGGCTGATTTCTTTTGATCTGAAGACGGAGAAGTTCCAATTCATTGAACCCCCCAAGCACCCCATATTTTCGTCCAGGCAAAGCTGGTGGATACCCACGAAATTCAGGGGACGGCTGGCTCTGTTAGTTTATGGTTTCTGGAAAAATGCAGAAGCTGAATGTTTTTCCATTTATACACTGGAAAATTGCGATGATCGTGGTTCTAGTTCCTGGGATAGGCATGCCATCCCCACACCCCCTGAGTTTCGAGGTGCAGGTAGATTTTGTGCACAACTTGTTGGCAACCTCCCCACAGGCCAGATATTGCTGACAGATATGCATATTTGGAAGCATTGTGATGATTTCATACCAATATATTCTTATGATGACCAGAGAAACGAGTTCGAGAAGTTTATAGTTGGCAGTATCCCTCAGGAGACTATTCGTGCTCTAGGATTTACTTTTAGGTTATCCTATATGGCACAGGAAAATGTTGTATCATTGGCTGTCTTGTTTCGTAAGTGGGTGAAATCAAAAGTAAATGCATCCACCAGTTAGTTGTGGTTTTGTCACAACTATGGTTGTGATGCTCTAAAAGATAGGCAGAGAGGAATGGTAGCAGCAGCTGTTGTTAAATGAGGCAGAGTGAGTGAATTGCTTGTAATATTCTTACATGAAATTGTTCATTGCAGCGAAGAATAGCATTTTTCTGTGGCTAGATGCATTCAAGATTTCCTCTGAGATTTCCCTTTTTTCCCTTTCATTAGCTGGTGATGCCTATAAAAGCACCTGAACCTCCCGTAAGCAAAACACAAACACAAACACAATGATGTTGCGAGGTTTTCCTCCAGAAATGGTCTTCCAACGGGACATATAATCTTATCAGTGAGGTGAAAGAATTTGCTGACAAAATAGCCTTTCAACGTTGTTAATCTGATAGTGATCATACAAATATACGGGTGTGTTTGTGAAGCAATCGGACCCTTCAGGTTCTCATGGTTGGCAAATAAAAACAGGCCACAGGGCCAGTAGGGAGGTTTCCAACTTTCCAACAGGAGCAACCGCTCCCCAGCTTGCTGCAAAATCTTCAAATCCAGGGGATAATATGCCTAATCCACCAATTACCTCCTTTATCATCATCTTACAATGTATGATGGATGACACATTCACAATAGCCAACTATACCTTGACAGAGCAGCGCGTCCCTCAAAATGCGCGCATCCCCAGCTACCGTTTCATATGTTCTAATTCAATTTCTCATTGTGGAGGTCTAGTTTAAGCTTAAAAAGAGTGTTGAAGTAATAGTAAGCGCTATAATTTGCCATAGTTAAGTCATCAAGCCCAAGCGGCAGGCGAGCTTTGACCAGGATTGCACGACCCCAAGATCGTAAATCTCCTTTTCGTTTCCCTCTGAAATGAATAACATTTTTATTTCTTTGAAAAAGCTATGGTTGTCGTAGCTTTCTTTTCTCTGGCCTTGTATATGCATTTGTAGTTATAATTTTAGGCGTATTAGTACCAAGTAGTACATGTTAAACGACGATTTACAGTCCAAGAACAGAACTTTTTTTTTTCCCTTTTAATTGAAACTTTCTGAGGACAGAACTTGTCTTGGATGGATCTAGCCTGGGCTAATTCTTACAAGTAGCCATACAAGATAGGCAATCACAAAGCTTACGAATCCTAAAACCGACTTCAAAAAACAGCCACGCGAACTTGCATATCTTTCCATCAATGCAAATCAATTACTACAACGTTAAAATGCTATAACACCCAAGCATTAAATGCATCAATGCATTAAAGCACCCATTAATGCGTTAAAGATATGCGTTAAAATGCATATCTTTCCATCAATGCATTAAAGCACCCAAGCAAACACAATGGGGTGTAACATAGGGTGTAATACCCTTTATTACTCCCTCCCCAATCTCCATAGTGAAGTAGGAGTATAGTAGAAGTGCGAGTACAGTGGAAGAGTAATAGTCATGATGCGTTTCATGGGTCATGGCCGTTACACGCATAATAAATAGACTGGTTGTAGGTCTCATCTGACAATTTCAATGCTTTAATTTTTATGAGATATGTATTATGTATTATTAAAATAAATATGTGATTTGATTGTGAGTCCATACTATTATATTCGATACGATGTAATCTATAGTGAGAGATAGTATAATAAAAAAGAGGATAATAAAATGATGACGTATAAATAATCTCACGTCAAAAGACTTTAATTCATGTAGTTTAGAACAAAAAACCTTAGCTTTTAGTGCCAATAATCTCACATCCCCGTAGGTTGAGAGAGCCTGATCAAACAAATCGGTCTCAACCTTGAGTTCCCCGATTGCAATCAGCATTTCTGCAATTGCTTTATGCCTTTCAATTTTGAACACGGAATTGATGGGCCGCGGCTATGGGCAACCTGATCGCTTACGTCCAGAAACTGGCACTGGATCATCAATTTTCCTAGCACCGCTTGTCCACGATTATAGCCGGAAACACCAGTAATTTCCTTTTCTCTTAATTTACGTAAGGACCTATCATTTAAATATAAAGCAGGCGCTTTAGAAAAGTAAGACTGACCCCAAAAAATTTCTTAATTTACGGCAATGGTTAAGAGAGTGAGAATTGATAGTATTTTGTTCGACTAAAATAGATCTTCCTTGCCTCGGTTTGCATATCAGGAAAATCGCACACAGGGGTGGCTGACAAATCACAAAGTGTTTTGCGAGCTTCAATGTAATTGTAGTAGGGGAATAAAATAAAATTGTTCCCTCTGATATATGGAATAAGCCCATCGAGTATCCCCTTTGAAATGAAAAACATGAATCTAACTGTCCTGCATGTAATAAGCATTTCACGTTCATGGACTTAATTTTACTTTTGGACTAAATAATTTTTAAAAAAAAGGCCATAAAACTCATGAAATGGTTACATTTGGGCTCTATCCAAAGTAGTAACGAGTAAATCAAAGCATTGGACCAGTAACAAGTTTGCAATTTTAAGTACAAAATAACAAGTTCCGGATTTCTCCCTCCAGCAATCTCTCCTTCTAATACAAGACTCTGCTGCGCATGCCGAGTGGATGTCTCTGCACGCATGCAGAGAGAGAGAGAGAGAGACCATTATGATCACAGATGGTACAAAGGTTGTGGTAACAGTAAACAAGCAGAAAGTTAATCAATCAGAGAAGGCTTCATGAACTTCCTAACAATGCAGTTGCACAATTGCATCCCGTTACAAGCATTACAAATGGACCAAAACCTGTGCAAGTTCAGTGTATGCTTAGAACGGTCGCGTCTCACCTACAGAGAGGCAGATTTCCAGAACTCAATGGGCTTCCGATGCTGAAAGGATTACAATGCAACTAGGTCATAAGGAAGAATATGTGGTTGTGTCAAATGAGAAATGCTAAGTAAGACAAGATGTTTTTGCTATTCGGGAATGCAAATTCAACATATTTAAATCAATAAAACCATTTTTTGGCTTTCCATTGGGGTGTTTTTCGGGGAGGGGGAGAAGAATGAATTTGTGTAGTAATAAAGCATAGTAAACAACTTCCAGTTACCTGGCATATGGGCATTTTTGCTCTAACTGAATCAATGAAAGAGAAGTCAATATCTGCAACAGCAATACCAGTTGACAAACGATCTGGAACAGCATTTGAACAGTATAATATGGTCATTAAGTTTGAAATTGTTTCTTGCAAGAAGCTTTCAGCTAATACGATCGCAAAATACTATTTCTCATGGATTAAACAAGGAAAACTTAACTAGTGATTTGACCATACAAAGCTCCCTCAAATGAATTGAGAGAATGTAATATGTTGTTTTGGAGCTCTGATCTAGCTTTCCCTTGGAACATATTGACCATGACATAAACATTAATTTAAAGGCACAAGACTAGCAACTTCCTTGGAGAGAGAGGTAGTAGTCAAATTTCTAAGCCCCCCTCTCTGATCAGGTTACTACCATAAATCTAACCTATCAAGTATTGACACAGCATCTACTATGCAAGTCTAGCTGTGAAAAGGAGACGGTCAATGGATAGGTACATTCATTCCCTGTACGATCAAACCTTCCCCCCCCACAAACCCACACACACACACCCTTCTTTCCGGTGGGGAACAAAAAAATAAGCAGAGGGGGAAAAAAAAGAAAGAGAAAATACATAATCGTGCTTTCCATCTGCCTGTTTCAGAGTGAGCCTATATCCAAATCAAACAAGTCAACTAAGGACCATACAGAGGGAAAGAAGTTAAAACTAAAGAAATTGAATAGGGGAAGAAAATATTTCAGACCCGGCAACCGCCCAACTATTGTTCCCCATGGATCAATTATCAAGGTGTCACCATAGCTTTCTCTTTTGTCATTATGCTTTCCAGCTTGCGCAGCAGCTATGACCTGTAAGATGTTTATGACTGTGAAACAGTGGCATATAATCAGGAAAGAGAGCTTATACCATCAGATAAAACTTATGTTAAAAATCCAGTATAAAAGAGAACTCCAGAAGTTGAACGTCTCAGGTCAATCAACAAATAATATAGGTATTATAACATATGCATCCAGGGTGAATATTCTTGTCAAAAAAGCTATGACACAGCTACCATATTGTCTGTGTAGGAGCTACCAATTCACAAACATAGTTTTGAAGATCATTGCCTGGCATTTTGTCCTGTTGTCAAAAGATGGATTCATGTGATTTTCCAAGAAACTAATAACTGTACATCCATTGGAGTTGACCCTCCTCCTTGCAGTTATTGCAATTAACTAATGTTTTAATGCAAAATTAGACACACATATTAGAGTACATATTTCACTAAATATCAATAGCAACTAAAACATGCAATGTCTTTCCAAAGAACAACTTCATGTAGCTGAAATTTCAGGCAGACATTTATTAGATTGCACATGTCAATATGAAGAAACCATGAGAGGAGAATATCTAGATTCTTTCAGGCTAATCTTGAAGAGGTATGAACGCAAAGAAAATAAATGCAGATTGTTTTTCGCTATTCAATTCTAAGAAAATGATAAAATCATAAAACTTGCACATAACAAAACACTACAAGCTGAAGCGTTGTTCAATCAACTATTACAGATGGTGCTTAAAAATAAAAATAAATTAAAAAAAAACTTTGGCAGTAAACTAATAGTAGAAAACCAAAATGTTAGAGGAGGATGAAGAACATTCATACATAACATTGAGTTTCAATTGCACGAGCACGAAGAAGAATCTCCCAGTGTGCTTGACCTGTTGGTTTTGTAAAAGCAGCAGGTACCAGTAAAACCTGCCAAAGGGAAAAGTGCAAATCACTGTATAAGGATACAACTACTATTCCCACGTGCATAAAATGAATTTTACCTGTGCATTATGGTGGAACCTCAACTGCTGATAAAGCTCCGGAAATCTCAAATCATAACACACTGTCAGACCTAAACGTCCAAAGGGGCTATCTACTGCAACAATCTCCTTCCCTGTAAAAGCTCATCAGTTTTTAGAGAGAGAGAGAGAGATGGGGTGCAACAACTTTTGGAGAATCAAAAAAAGAAATTGAGGAAAATGAACTAAATTAAGTACTGTAATTTGGAATTCTTGGCACCCACTTGGTAATTGTGGATCTACCTTGCTAGGTTCTTAATTCACTGGTTAGTTGATACCTTAAATCCATCTTCAAAAACAAAATTTCAAGATAATCATTTGGTTTGATCTGGAACAATTGCACCGACCA